ATTTGCGAATCGCGAATTTGGACCTAATTTGTTTATATTGTTCCCATCATTTTCGGTAGATCAATCGTGCTTTCGAACTCAATTATCAGGTCATAAAAATGGTTTGGAGTGTTTAAACAGTTAAAACGCAAGTCCGAAAGCGGAAAACAGTTTTTGATTCATTCATAATCCTTCCTGTATTTGTAAAGGTTTGTTGTTTGTAGGGCACATTTCCACGCTCATGCGAAAGATTATTCGTGATGGGGAGAAAGGGAGTGTCGGCTCTGAACCAGATGGCTACGTGTCTGTTTGGGTGAAATCGATAATGATTCGAGTGTTGATGACGGCTTTGATTAATTTGGGGCCACGCAAAGTGAAGAGATTAAACCAGTCGCTCCTGGCACGCCAACTAAAGCCGACAAAATTTAATTGTAATATATTTCACCTCGGTAAAATCATATTTTACTGATTTGTGCGTTGACACTGGTAAAGTTTTTGGTGAATTAGTTTCAGCGTTATAAGTTTAATGGAAAACCCTTAGCCAGGGTGGAAAGAGAGTTGTACATGGTTACTTGATACGAAAAAGATACAACCAGAAATGAATTCCAACAGAAGTAGAAAGTTACCGGAGTAAAAAATGGGTCAACTGAGTAGGTCAAAGAGAGTTACGTAATCAGAAAATGAGAAGGGTGAGATGTCACAACCTTGATGAATAGACGGTGATCCAAATCACCTGGAGGCTGTCTATGCAGCTAGACCGAGCACATGAGCAAGTTCTACTTGCTTATATATCAGTATACTGATTAAACTTAACAATACAAATATCTACATTGATAAATTAAATTTACGAGTTCTGAAATTGAACTTAATTTGTTTTTGTTTTGGTTCCCATCATTTTCCGCAAATCATTCGTGCGTTCGAATTTAATTATCAGGTCATAAAAATGGTTTAGAGTGTTTGAAAATGGTAGAACACAAGCCCGAAGACGAACAACAGTTTTTGATTCATTCATAATCCTTTCTGCATGTCAAAGGGCTTGTTGTTTGTGGGGCACATTTCCACACTCTTTTGAAAGATCATTTGGGATGGGGAGAGGGGAAGTGTGGGATCTAAACCAGGTGGCTACTTGTCGGTTAGCGTGAAATCGATTATGATTGGGGTGTTGTTGATTGTGCTGATCAATTTGGGGTCGCGGAAATTGAAGATCTTAGGCCAATCGCTTCAGCGCGCATAAGTTGTTTACTAAAAGGTGAATGCTTGTTACCTCAGCAGTGAATAAAGATAGATTAGAGGGTTTTTCAGCACACAATAGATAACCATAAATGCGGAGTGTGGCCATATTCGATCGCCTGTATCCACTGGATGACTAAGAATGGTGTTTTCGATGCCCCCGGTGCCTTCATGCCCAAATCAGTGTGTGTGGTGTTCCCTCATCCGTTGAAATATTTACCTTGCTATACAATGTACGTTGCCTTGCAAAGGCACCTGCATAAGAAAATTTTTGGAGAAATGGTGAATGTGGTGCACTTATGTTTGCAACCGGTTCAACTGGGCGCAAACATGTGTCGGTAAAAACAGCGAATTCTTAGATGATCTGTATAGGCAGGACTATATACCAGACCAAAACAATGGTTTCTCTTCATTGTGTGCTCCAACGTTAGAATCCGTTTATTCCGGAATGAATAAAAATTTCTGAATACATCTTCGTTTTTTCCTTTAAAGAAGTGTTTATTTAGTAGAAATTGCCCAAAGAAAGAAACATGAAATGGAATCAACATATTTTTAATTAATTTAATAAAATTTTAATTTCCGTAGTCACACGCGGTTTCATTTAATCGGAAGTTTCATACAGTATCAGAAGTGTATTAGCAAGACGGCAAGCGATGAGCAAGTTGAAATTAGAGACCGCTTCACACGGAATCTAATTAAAT